GGAGGAGTGTGTTTCCACTGAAAGCACAAATCTCAGCTAGACCATTTGCACACCATTCTAACATCCAAATGAATACAGCGAAGTGAAGCAGACAAGGCTTCATCTGACAACCTGAGCGGTGTGTGTGTGTTTGTTTACAGGAGCGAGGATGTGTCCACCAAGCGGCTCCTCCGTCACTTCCCATGTAGCTGACTCCATGGGAAGCCCACAATCCCAGTCCTCAAGTGGACAGGAGACATCTCCCGTCACGCAGGGTGCAGTCGCACCTCCACAGATCTCCAGTATCATCTATTGATACTGGTAATGGCTCAAAAGGGCCACCACTTACGGGCTATTCATGCCCGTGCCACCTTTTGGGTGGCTTAATCTTCATCAATCAATCAGTCCTCATGTGGTCCTTGTGGTCGTGAGAGAGCGGCGCCTCGCCAGAGCTGGGACGAACACCTCAGGGCAGTATGTACTCATCTACGATTGATGATGATTGATGAAGATTAAGCCACCCAAAAGGTGGCACGGGCATGAATAGCCCGTAAGTGGTGGCCCTTTTGAGCCATTACCAGTATCATTAGCTGATACTGGAGATCTGTGGAGGTGCGACTGCACCCTGCGTGACTGACGGGAGATGTCTCCCGTGCTCATCTACGTCACCACTACTCTGTAAATAGTCCCAGCCTAAGCTCACGAAAATATGAGGTGCAAAGTGTATGAGGGTGGGTGGCCAGCCGCCACGCTCTCAACCATTTAACAACCTAATCTGAAGCGGGTTTCTTAAACCATGACGCTACCAGACAAACCCAAACAACCCCTCGAGGAACCATGCTCAAGCTATCCGAGATCGCGTATAAAAATCATCGTTTAAATTCCGTAGCAAAAAAATCCCAATTTGGTGTGATGAACAGCGTCATCACCATTACCGTCAAATTAAGGCGAGGATAATGTGAGAACGGGTTGTGGTCACCAGCTGGCTCCCGATCTTCTACTACTTCCCGGGATCGGGGAGGAGAACTCCCAGAACCCCATCCAGGTATACTCCAGGTATACTCCAGGTATGCTTAAACCCACACGTGCAGGTGGAAGCGGTCGGGACGCCACTGTCGCACGTGGGGCTCGCCACAGTACTCTACAGTCATCTGTTGGATAACTGGAGGAAAGACGGAGCCAGGGAGCTGAGTCCTGTACCTTGTGTTTCCCTTAAGCTCCACGTTTCCGCCATACCCAAGTACCTGGAACTTATCACCGTTAAACATCATGATATTTGCCCAATCGAAGACTTTATTAATATCAACTTGTAGTTTTTCAGTGTCTTCAAGAGAGGATATTTTCATGATGACATTGTATCATCAGCAAAAGGATAACACGAAGTGTTATCCTTTAGTCCTTTAGTCGTTTATCCTAGTCGTTAGACTAGTGTTTTCGTCTATAGCCGAGAGAAGAATGAGAAGGAGCAGCGGTGCAAGAACTGTGCCCTGAGGTACAGAGCTTTTCACTACACATGGACTTGATCATATTTGACTGACTGTTACTCTTTGCATTCTGTTTGACATGTGTTTGGTGACAGGTAAGGTTAGAATTGCCTTACCTTATCTTACGATGATTCCGAGGATTAACGTCCCCGCGGCCCGGTCTCTCAAGATGCCTCCTGATTGGTGATTTGGTCAACCAGGCTATTGGTAGAGGGGGGGGGAAGTGTGGGTGTCAGTAGGGGGAGGAGGAGGTAAATATTGGTGTAAATAGAGGGAGAGTGGGTGTAAGTAGGAGGTGGGAGGGGGGAGGGAGTGAGTGAGGGGTATTCGTGCAGGCCGTTTTCACGAAATGACAAGCGTCAAATTGTAAGCGGTTTAGCCTAACCAGATTCGTATGAAGTTACCAAAGAGGTCCACCCCACCAAAGGCATCGAGGCCCGTGTGTATCAGTCGTGGAAGTGTCAGTATTTCGGCGCGTGTAATTTGGGTAGAGGAGCGGCAAGTGTCCAGGCGCGGGAGCGTTATGGTTGAGGACAGGTCCGCCAGGGTGAGTGTGGGTGCCCGTAGGAGTGGATGAGTTCATGACTCCATGGGTAGAGGCCCCCCCTTGTCCTCATGACTCATGACTGGCTTGATGCTTGCTCTCTTTCTTTCTCTCTCTTGCTCTCTGTCTCTGTCTCTGTCTCACTCTCTCTCTCTCTCTCTCCCCCTCCCCTCTCTCTCTCTCTCTGTCTCTCTCTCTCTCTCTCTCTCTCTCTCTCTCTCTCTCGCTCTCTCTCTCTCTCTCTCTCTCTCTCTCTCTCTCTCTCTCTCTCTCTCTCTCTCTCTCTCTCTCTACGTTAAACGTGAACTTTTGATGCTTGAAGAAGTGTTGAGATACTGTGTTAAACTCACTTAACATTTCTGATGCTAAAGTGTTAAGTGAGAATCCTTGAAGTAGAGACCAAGAGCAATGTTTGGCCGCCAGTAACCGACCCAACAAGCACACACTGCTTCCTCTATTACTGCAGAGAACCGTCACTATGTAACCCGTTAGTCAGACCACCTCCACAACATGGCCCAGAATAATTCCCTACTTTACTAGTAATTCCTTTTTGTACGCATTTTGTACGTAATAACACCATGGTCTTGTCTGTCGAAAGGTTTTGAGATAACACCAGAGCCGGTCGGCCGAGCGGACAGCACACTGGACTTGTGATCCTGTGGTCCCGAGTTCAATCCCGGGCGCCGGCGAGAAACAATGGGCAGAGTTTCTTTCACCCTATGCCCCTGTTACCTAGCAGTAAAATAGGTACCTGGGTATTGGTTAGCTGTCACGGGCTGCTTCCTGGGGGGTGGAGGCCTGGTCGAGGACCGGGCCGCGGGGACACTAAAGCCCCGAAATCATCTCAAGATAACCAGTATCTAGGCTCCGTCTTCAATAGATGTTTAGGGCCAGCGATAGTTTTTGTGTATAATTATTGATGGACATATAATTCCAGGAGTCAATAGAGAGGACACAGTGAACCTCTAAACTTAACCAGGTCTTCCAACGGGGCCAAAGAACACAACATGAAGATCAATGAAAACGTTTCAGCTCCTACACTGTTTACAAATCATAACTGTAACCACATCCACATGTAAGAACAGTGCAGCCATGTGTGTGGGAGGACCATACACCTCCACCCTCACCACGACCTAACACCACCATCACACACCCTCACCACGACCTAACACCACCATCACACGCCCTCAACACGACCTACCACCATCACACACCCTTAACACGACCTACCACCATCACACACACCCTCACCACGACCTAACACCACCACCACACGCCCTCAACACGACCTACCACCATCACACACCCTCACCACGACCTAACACCACCATCACACACACACCCTCACCACGACCTAACACCACCATCACACACACACCCTCACCACGACCTATTACCATCACACACACGCCCTCAACACGACCTAACACCACCATCACACACCCTCAACACGACCTACCACCATCACACACGCCCTCAACACGACCTACCACCACCACCACACACCCTCAACACGACCTAACACCACCGTCACACACCCTCAACACGACCTACCACCATCACACACGCCCTCAACACGACCTACCACCACCACCACACACCCTCAACACGACCTACAACCATCACACCCCCTCACCACGACCTACCACCATCACACACGCCCTCAACACGACCTACCACCACCACCACACACCCTCAACACGACCTACCACCATAACCCCCCCCCTTCCACAACCATCCATCAAGCCTCACCACCCACCCTCCACCGCTCAGAGGTCAGATTTGCATGATATTGGGCATGTGGCGGAGCTCTGGTCTAACACAGCACCTGGGGGGCTGAGACAGTCCACCACCAACAGATGCCGCCTTTACCATTGTCTAGATTTAGCACGTAAATTGTCCTCTCAAATACACCTCATCACCCAGAAAATGAAGACGGATTCTGTGGCAGACTACACGTATTTTGGGTGATTGGGGGGGGGGTGTACTCAGCTAGTTGTGCTTGCGAGGGGTTGAGCTCTGGCTCTTTGGTCCCGCCTCTCAATTGTCGATTAAATGGTGTACAGATTCCTGAGCCTACTGGGCTCTATCTACTTACGTACGTGTGTGTGGGGGGAGGGGGGGGAGGGAGGGGATGACAAGTTTACATGCTCTGACGAGCAAATATAGTCATGGCAAGAAAGGACATCCCGCAGGCGTGAATTAATGGAAGTCATGTTCGAACACAACACAGTATAGACGCCACACTCACTATAATCGGCAGAACATATTGAAGCAGTACAGTGATATATTCCAGGTACTCAGGTACGGTAAAAATGAGGACCTTAAACATAATACAGGGGTTATCTTGAGGTTATCTTGAGATGATTTCGGGGCTTTTTTTTTAGTGTCCCCGCGGCCCGGTCCTAGACCAGGCCTCCACCCCCAGGAAGCAGCCCGTGACAGCTGACTAACACCCAGGTACCTATTTTACTGCTAGGTAACAGGGGCATAGGGTGAAAGAAACTTTGCCCATTGTTTCTCGCCGGCGCCTGGGATCGAACCCAGGACCACAGGATCACAAGTCCAGCGTGCTGTCCGCTCGGCCGACCGGCTTTATACCCGACCCGACCGGCTCGGGTATAAAGCGCAAGTTAATCTGCCCCATAGTAGGAAAGCAACATGTAAAGGATCTGGGAATAATGATGTCTGACGACCTAACGTTTAGAGGGCAGAGCCAAGCAAATAGTGTCACCTTGCGGTTACCTCGGAGCTCAACGTCCCCGCGGCCCGGTCTCCGACCAGGCCTATCAGCTAGAAAAATGAGGGGGGTAGGCCCCTCGTGGCAAGGAGTGCCAAGCACAACAGATTGTTGAGTCATTAGCAAGGGAGGGGGGGGGGGTAGCTGTGGCCTGACTGATGACCGTACTGACCCCCTCTCCCCCTCCCCCCCTCCCTCCCCCCACCTTTTTGCAGGGAAGAGATCATCGACAACACTTTAAATTGAAATACAGAAACAGCAGCATCATCCCCCAGTAATTCCGCTCCCGCTGTGGTGCCCAGACCACAAAAGCAGCGGAGACGAGATGATGACATTGTTGAGGCCACCTGCGGTCACCTGCGGCCACCTGTGGTCACCTGCGGCCACCTGCGGCCACCTGTGGTCACCTGCGGCCACCTGCGGCCACCTGCGGCCACCTGCGGTCACCTGCGGCCACCTGCGGCCACCTGCGGCCACCTGCGGCCACCTGCGGCCACCTGCGGTCACCTGCGGCCACCTGCGGTCACCTGCGGCCACCTGCGGCCACCTGCGGCCACCTGCGGTCACCTGCGGCCACCTGCGGTCACCTGCGGCCACCTGCGGTCACCTGCGGCCACCTGCGGTCACCTGTGGTCACCTGCGGCCACCCGCGGCCACCTGTGGTCACCTGCGGCCACCTGCGGCCACCTGCGGTCACCTGCGGCCACCTGTGGTCACCTGCGGCCACCTGCGGCCACCTGCGGTCACCTGCGGCCACCTGCGGTCACCTGCGGCCACCTGTGGTCACCTGCGGCCACCTGCGGCCACCTGCGGCCACCTGTGGTCACCTGCGGCCACCCGCGGCCACCTGTGGTCACCTGCGGCCACCTGCGGTCACCTGCGGCCACCTGTGGTCACCTGCGGCCACCTGCGGCCACCTGCGGTCACCTGCGGCCACCTGTGGTCACCTGCGGCCACCCGCGGCCACCTGTGGTCACCTGCGGCCACCTGCGGTCACCTGCGGCCACCTGTGGTCACCTGCGGCCACCCGCGGCCACCTGTGGTCACCTGCGGCCACCGGCGGCCACCTGCGGTCACCTGCGGCCACCTGTGGTCACCTGCGGCCACCTGCGGCCACCTGCGGTCACCTGCGGTCACCTGCGGCCACCTGTGGTCACCTGCGGCCACCTGCGGCCACCTGCGGTCACCTACGGCCACCTGTGGTCACCTGCGGCCACCCGCGGCCACCTGTGGTCACCTGCGGCCACCTGCGGCCACCTGCGGCCACCTGCGGTCACCTGCGGCCACCTGCGGCCACCTGCGGTCACCTGCGGCCACCTGCGGTCACCTGCGGCCACCTGCGGTCACCTGCGGCCACCTGCGGCCACCTGCGGTCACCTGCGGTCACCTGCGGCCACCTGCGTCCACCTGCGGCCACCTGCGTTCACCTGCGGCCATCTGCGGTCACCTGCGGTCACAAGCGTGTCGCTGGCAGTACTCATCTAGTTGTGCTTGCGGGGGGGGGGGGTTGAGCTCTGGCTCTCTGGTCCCGCCTCTCAACTGTCAGTCAACTGGTGTACAGATTCCTGAGCCTACTGGGCTCTATCATATCAACATTTGAAACTGTGTATGGAGTCAGTCTCCATACACATACTCCATACATAGCCCCCCTCCCCATACACACACACACACGTAGGTGAGTACAACCAGGTGAGTACAGTTCACCGGGCAGCAAAACAGTAAATTATTCCCCCAGAATATCCGACAAAAAATATCCTATCTCGTCCCATTACCGGCTTCAAACACCCACCAAGGGATATTATTTCATCGCTATCAATTTTTAATATGAGGCATATGTATGAACAAGCATATATGCGGCATATGTATGCATGCATTTATGTACGAACACGTATGTATTAAGTATGAGTATATATATGTACTATGTACGAGTACGTACGCATTACGTACCAATATGTATATATGTATGCACGAGAATGTGTGTGTATATGTATGCACGAGAATGTGTGTGTATATGTATGCACGAGAATGTGTGTGTATATGTATGTACGAGAATGGATGTATATATACATCCGTTCCACTGTTGTTCAACATCCAGCGAACGTAAGAAATATTGCCGGAACAACCGTGGACATCTTCAAGAGAAAACGAGATAGTTTTCTTTAAGGAGTGCCGGACCAACCGGGCTGTGGTGGATATGTGGGCCTGCGAGCCGCTCCAAGCAACAGTCTGGTGGACCAAACTCTCACAAGTCAAGCCGGTTGGGGAGTAAAAGAACTCCCAGAACCCCATCAACCAGGTATCAAAGGCTGCTCTAGCAGACAAATATATACAGAAATTATAAGCTATATAAATTATGTGTCATTCAACATATAAATTGTAACATATTATAACTCTTTAATATGTTTTATTATTACATAAGTTACATTACAAACAATAGTTCTCTAAGCATCATTGAAATAATAATAATATTTGACACAGAAGGTGCAACAAACGCTGTTAAACAGCACCTGCTGGGGTCTGATGAGCACCTTTTGTGCCTTGTGTTATCTGTCCCCCACTCCGGCTCACAGGGGGAGACGCCCCCTCCCCCAGTGACGCCACAGGGGGGAAGACGTCCCCCCCCCCTTGACGTTACAGGAGGGGACGACGTCCCATACTGGCTGTAACACAATACAGATGATAAAGTTCACTGATGTGCAGCCCATTTGCCGACACTGTGAGACCCACAACCTTGCTTCCACGACCCCAACACAACCACTACGACCACAACACAACTACCACGACCACAACACAACTACCACGACCACAAAACAACCACCACGACCACAACACAACCACCACGACCACAACACAACCACCACGACCACATCACAACCACCACGACCACAACACAACTACCACGACCACAACACAACTACCACGACCACAAAACAACCACCACGACCACAACACAACCACCACGACCACAACACAACCACCACGACCACATCACAACCACCACGACCACAACACAACCACCACGACCACAACACAACCACCACGACCACAACACAACCACCACGACCACAACACAACTACCACGACCACAACACAACCACCACGACCACAACACAACCACCACGACCACATCACAACCACCACGACCACAACACAACCACCACGACCACAACACAACCACCACGACCACCAACACAACCACCACGACCACAACACAACTACCACGACCACAACACAACCACCACGACCACAACACAACCACCACGACCACAACACAACCACCACGACCACAACACAACCACCACGACCACAACACAACCACCACGACCACAACACAACCACCACGACCACAACACAACCACCACGACCACAACACAACCACCACAACAACCTGTCATTATACAGAATAAGTATTCTTTAGATTGAATTCCGACACGAATACACACACTGAGAAGTGTAGCCTCTCGGTGTATATATATACACTGACAGTTTCCTGTACACCTGTACTGCGTTCAGGACTAACGTATACTTGTTAGTTAGTCAAGAGGCTCCTGTGGTGACCCTAATAACCCTCTAGAGGTTGTAGGCCTTATGCCCAACAGCAATTCAATCTGAAAGTGGTTTTACCCCTACGCCCCCACCCACGAGTGAGAGAGAGAGAGAGAGAGAGAGAGAGAGAGAGAGAGAGAGAGAGAGAGAGAGAGAGAGAGAGAGAGAGAGAGAGAGAGAGAGAGAGAGAGAGAGAGAGAGCATCATATTGAGAGGTGGCAGCGGCACCTCAACAATATATCTCGTATTATCAGGTAAGAAAAGGTTAAAGGGCGGTTAGTCTCCGGTCCTGACACAGCTCTCCAACTGTGATGCCGGAGCTCCGTATTGGCCACTTCCAACGAGCAACGTAACGGATCAATAACGGAATTAACGCGCCAATTACGCACACGAGACAGTCGGCCAATTATCAAGATGGACAGTGAATACAGAAACAATCGAAGGTCTGCTAAACGGATGAGGTCAGAAAGGAAGGAACGAATACGGAAATGATCCAACGACTCAGCGCCAGGGGGCAACAGATGCCAGACAAGACTTCCCATGATTCCCAACAGATCCTCACCAGGACCGAAAAAAAATAAAAATAAAAACTCCGTTAACTAAATGTGAGTGAACACTCGTGTGGGAGGAGGAGGAGGAGGAGGAGGAGGAGGAGGAGGAGGAGAAAGTAAATGTAGGAAGAGGTAAAGAGAGGACAAAAATTAAAACAAAATAAATCTCATTTTACTTGAGAATTGTGAGGAGAGACATTAATACACGTGCGGATACTTAATGCTTGCTGTATATTCTGCATTTTGCTGCGTTTCCTCTCGTCTGAGGGCGCGCCCACGCCTACTCACACCCGCCCCACGCCCACACCCGCCCCACGCCCACACCCGCCCCACGCCTACCCGTCCTACAACAAGGAACAACACACTACCCAGAGCCAGCAACACAGCGAGAGGGCAGACGAGGAGGACCCGGAAACTTTGTGTCGGGGACGTCAGTCTCGAGTCTCAGTCCGGTGGTGGGAGGAAATTTACGAGCAGCAGGCAAGGAATAACGGCAGCACCTTGTACATCGTGCCTGCCACAGCCGCGCCTTCTACTGCAGATCTTGTGGGATGGAGCTTTTGTGTGTGTGTGAGGGGGTGATGGGAGGGGGTGTATGTATAGGGGATGGGCCTAGTGGAAGGGGAATTTCGTAGCGTCCGCTCCACTTCCCCCCCCCCCACACTGTGTACACACATTCACCCGCGCAAATTAAAGGAAATTGCAGACACAAATGTCTTAATTGAGCAAGAGACGGAGGACGGGGTGAGGAGCGTAGGGATGAGGAAGACAGACGCCAGGGCCAAAGGCAGAGGAGGAAGATAGGGGGCGGAGGCAGAGGATAGTGAGGATGGGAGACAGAGGTGAATGGGGAAAAGGAAGAGATGGTGGGGGAAGGGGCAAGGGTATGAGGGGATTGGGGAAGGGGAGGGACCTAAAGGGTAAATGAACAGAGGAGAGTAAGAGGAGGAGGAAGGCGAGAAAGAGGACAGTGGGAGGAGACAGTGCTACGACACCATTAAACAGCTGGTCTCTGTAAGGGAATTAAACCTCACGTCACTGGGAGACAGAAGAGTTAGAGGGGACATGATCACCACATACAAGATTCTCAGAGGACTTGATAGGGTACATAAAGACAGACTATTTAACACAAGGGGCACACGCACTAGGGGACACAGGTGGAAAATGAGTGCCCAAATGAGCCACAGAGACGTTAGAAAGAATTTTTTTTGCCAGAGTAGTAGACAAATAGAATGCATTAGGCAGTGATGTGGTGGAGGCTGACTCCTACACAGCTTCAAATGTAAATATGATAGAGCCCAGTAGGCTCAGGAACCTGTACACCAGTTGATTGACAGAGAGGCGGGACCAAAGAGCCAGAGCTCAAGACCCGCAAGCATAACTAGGTAGGTACAACTAGGCACACACACACACCCCCCGGTGCTCCCAATAAGCCCCCCTTAAGGGAGAGGAGGAATGCTTGTATGTACCATTCAGCACTCCCCCCCCCCCCTCAAACTTTCACTACCCCTCCCCCCCCCCCCCGGCCGCCATTATACCACCACCCCATGCCGCCCCCCCAGCCGTGACACCACAGCCTCCCCCCCCCCCCGCCCACACCAACATCCAGGGCCCCTGACTGGCATAGGATACATAGTGTATCCTATGTATAGGATGCTTAGTGTCTCCAGTATACCCTGCGAAGCCGTTCCCAGTCCGTAACTCTCAGTGCTAACCAAAAAAACAAAAAACAATTTGCCTCAAAGTTGGAGATTATTGGGCAGCGTCACTCATCCTGTGAGTGAACACACCGCCATAGTGACAGTATTGGGCAGCGTCACTCATCCTGTGAGTGAACACACCGCCATAGTGACAGTATTGGACAGCGTGACTCATCCTGTGAGTGGACACACCGCCATAGTGACAGTATTGGACAGCGTCACTCTTCCAGTGAGTGAACACACCGCCATAGTGACAGTATTGGACAGCGTGACTCATCCTGTGAGTGGACACACCGCCATAGTGACAGTATTGGACAGCGTCACTCATCCTGTGAGTGAACACACCGCCATAGTGACAGTATTGGACAGCGTGACTCATCCTGTGAGTGGACACACCGCCATAGTGACAGTATTGGACAGCGTCACTCTTCCAGTGAGTGAACACACCGCCATAGTGACAGTATTGGGCAGCGCCACTCATCCTGTGAGTGAACACACCGCCATAGTGACAGTATTGGGCAGCATCACTCATCCTGTGAGCAAACACACCGCCATAGTGACAGTATTGGGCAGCGTCACTCATCCTGTGAGCAAACACACCGCCATAGTGACAGTATTGGGCAGCGCCACTCATCCTGTGAGTGAACACACCGCCATAGTGACAGTATTGGGCAGCGTCACTCATCCT